AATACACCCGTACATACGAGTATATAAATACATATATACATACGGACAGATAGACAAAAAGATAGGCAGACAAACAGGCAGACAGACAGATAGTCAGGCAGACAAACAGACACAGAGAGAGACACGCACATACATACATACATGTATATGTAAGTACGTATATTTACAATTACCTAACTATCAGCTTTCTGTTTGATTGGATTTGTCTCAATTTATCGCAATTCTGTTATTACCTGTTATTGTCTGTATGACCCCCCCCCCCCTCTTTCTCTCTCTTTTCACACTCTTCTATTGTCTTTCTCTCCGCCTCCCTTCTTCTTTTTCTTCCCCCTCCCTCCCTCCTTCCCCTCTCTCCCTCCCTCCCTCCCTCCTCTTTCCCTCTCTCCCTCCTTCCCTCTCTCCCTCCCTCCTTCCTTCTTTCCCTCTCTCCCTCCTTCCTCCCCTATCTCCCTCCTGCCCCTCCTCCCTCCTTCCCTCTCTCCGTCCTTCCCTCTCTCCCTCCTTCCCTCTCTCCCTCCCTCCCTCTCTCCCTCCCTCCCTCCCTCCCTCTCTCCCTCTTCCCTCCCTCCCTCCTGCCCCTCCCCCCCTCCCTCTCTCCTTCCCCTCCCTCCCTCCAGCTCTCAAACTCTCTCTCCATACCTATCTTATCTCGACAACTGGCTGTTCGAAAGACTTACGTAAACAGAATTTCATAAAGGCAGAACACTGAAAAGACATTGTACCCAAAAACCACTTGGAAACTACGGGTCAACAGAAGATCAAGAGCATGTTTGTACAGATAGGAAAAGTACACGTGTGTGTGGGGGTGGGTTTTTTGTGTTTATGTGTTGTGTAAGTTTGTGTGTGTATGTGGATGTTTGAGAAAGGGAGATGGGGTGTTTGTGTGTATGTGTATGTGTATGTTTGAGAAGGGGGATGGGGTGTTTGTGTGTATGTGTATGTTTGAGGAAGGGATGGGGTGTTTGTGTTTGTGTGTATGTGTATGTTTGAGAAGGGGATGGGGTGTTTGTGTTCGAGTTTGTGTGTATGTGTATGTTTGAGAAGGGGGATAGGGTGTTTGTATGTGTATGTTTATGTTTGAGGAAAGGATGAGGTGTATGTGTTTGTGTCTTGTGTAAGTGTGTATGTGTATGTGTATGTTTCAGTAGGGAATGGGGTGTTTGTGTTGATGTACGTGCGTGTGTAGTTTGTCAAAGTGCAGTCATGTTAATGCAAATACAATCCACCATTTTATCTACATTATATGTATATTATTTGTGCTGACGAGAATGCTTTCCCCGTCATTAGATTTTTTACGAAACGATGATATGAATGAACCAAATAATACAATAATAACAGAGCAAGATAAGCACAATATCAAGAAAGAAAAAAAGAAAGAGAGAGAAAAAAAAACATTCCACCAAATTATAATAAAATACACATGAACATATAAACATACCCTGCATATACATACAACATTTTTTTCTACTTTCCTCAGCGCAGTGTACAAATGACGTCACACCGACGCAGGAGACAAACCAACCTCAGTTTATCATGAACTCTTCAAGACGCCAGTAATAAAGTGGTCCTTTTGTTCTCTTGCATTAAGGTCGTTTCCATGCAAAATGGAGCTCCGAGGCATTTTTCTTGCGTCTGTCAAGTCTTGTAAGAAATCTCAGCTTGTCCCTGTTTTTTTTTTCTTTTTTTTTCTCTCTCTCCTTCTCTCTCTTTTTTCTTTATTTTTTAAAGATTTTGATATCATATCCATTTCATTTTATTCATGAAGTGGTTATAAGGTATTTCATATTATTCATGAAGTGGATATTACGCCCTCGTCATGGGTGAGACTTAGCATAAATGCATATATACATTGTTTTCTGAATAACTGTGGATTTTAATGTCTCTTCCTTCAGAGGTGTATTTTCGCGTTCTGAAAAATGACGCTGGTTATGGATTTTTAACTTTTTTCTCTCTGTTCTTCTGTTCTCCCTGGTCTTCTGTTCTTCTCCCTGACTCGTTCTCTGTTGTGTTCTCCCTCACACTACATCCGTTGATCTTCTTTATCCCAATTGTAAACTCTCCTCTTTTGTCTCTCGCTCCTTTCTCCCTCTAAAGCCAAACTTTTCCCCCTCCTTTCTCTTTCCCAGAACCGCGGTACTTATAAATGGAGTTGTGGATATGTCTGTGAACGTTTTCGTCCATTCTCTTTTTCTTTGTCTGTTCTTTCACAAAATCATTTTATTTGTGATATATCTGTCCAAAGCACCTACTGTGTGGTGGTAGCAGTCTCGTCTTGGCAATCTTGGCTGACCCGCGTTCAAATCCCGCACCGCCAGTGGATAGTAACCCCGGCCATTCCTTGCTCACAGGGATAATTTTGAAGTAAAGTTAAACAGACAGCTCGGTACATCATATATTAACCATCGTAACAAATGAAACTAAACTTAATTCCTTGTACATAGAGTCTGATTTAGAAGCAAAATGAAACAGGACGGTACACCAAATATTAACCATTGTAACAGATGGAATATAACTTTATTATTGATTATTATCATTCTTATCACTCTACTCCCTTGCCATCTACATCGCCGCCTTAGGAACTATCCGTGTCTCCATATAAGGAATGATACGTTTTAATCAATCTCTCATAATTTTGTAGCGAGGGATTCCTATCGTAAAAAAAAAAAAAAAAAAAAAAAAAAAAAAAAATGCATTTTATTCTCAGAGGCTATTTTATTCTTCCAGACACTTTTTTTTTCTTTCTTTTTTTCGATTCCAATACTCCTTCAACTTATTCTGAAGGCATTTAGTTTTCCTAATTCAGTGGTTCTAGGAGAGGGTGCCATGAATAGTGCCTAAGGGTGCCACAAGATCCCCAGTGATGGAGTTGTTAATTACTCTTTTTCTTGAGGTGAATTTCGTATGTGTCATGTGGCTATGTTCTTTACTTCAGTTTCATTTACTCTTTCTAGTAACTTGTTGTTGAGTCTTTCTAATCGACTCTTAAAGCCAGCCAGGTCTCCTATCGGATTATATAGCCTCTTCCTTAAAAAAAGGAAAAGATAATAATGATAATGATAATAATAATAAATAAAAAAGTATCACCAAACTTTACATAAAAAAGAAAAATGAAAGAAAGAAAGAAAGAAACAAAAAGAAAAAGAAGAAGAAGAAGGAGATAGTTAGATAGATAGATAGATAGATAGAGAGAGAGAGAGAGAGAACAGAAATATCAAATTCCCTTTACCTATCTCTCTTCTCCTTCTCTCCTCTTGCACTTCAGTTTCTGCAATTACAGCCAATTTTTGCTACCACTGCATTTGCTCTATCATTCCTCAATATTCTCCGCCCACTCCTGTGTTGTGCAGTGATCCAGGATCCTCATTTCAACAATCCTTGCAACATACACATTGTAAGCGTAAGAGAGATGTTGGGATTACCACTGTCTCCAGATGTAACGAGTGAAAGCCACCAGATGTAAGCGTAAGAGAGATGATCTTGGGCGGCAATGAAAGGGGTCTTAGCTTGCTGGTTTATTCCTGAAGATAGATATGAGACCCCCCCCACCAACCCACCCACCCAAGAGACCCCCGTGTCCCCGGGTGGAGGACGAGGTGGTGGAGCTGGACCCTGGGTGGCTTGGCCTATCTGTCGTGTCTCTCTCTCTTTCCTTCGTCTTACGTACGTGCCCTTTTATGCGGCGGTTTCCTTAGATGGTGGATGTTTATTCCTATGCAAAAAAGAAAATAGCCGGGCGACACCT